GCTTTTCTTTTGTCCTCCAGCGCCAGCCTCCAGTACGCACTCACCATTCTTGCTGCTCTGTTTCCCTAGTATCCAGGGCCCCGTGCATGCACTGTGTCTGTGCTGTGGTCTGGATGGCTGGGGCTGGGTGTTCAGCAGTCCTGAGCTCCCTCTCCCTCCCGCTCTGACTCCTCTCCTCCTACTGGGAGCTGGAGGAGGGGTTCTTGGGACCCACCAGGCTGGGGTTTGTATCCTACCCCCTTTGCAAGGCGCTGGGTTCTCGCGGGTGTGGATGTGGTCTGGATGTTGTCCTGTGTCCTCTGGTCTTTATTCTAGAAAGAGTTGTCTTTGTTATATTTTCATAGGTATATGTAGTTTTGGGAGGAGATTCTGCTGCTCTACTCACACTACCATCTTGGCTCCGCCCCTTGTCTTACATTTTTTTTAGAAGCATTTGTAAAGGATCCATGCTAATTTTTTTTAAGACATTTGGCAGAATTCAACAATGAGGCAATCTATTCTTGAACTTTCCTTTGTGGAAAGTTTTAAAGTTACTATTGAAAATTTTTCCTTTTTATAGAACCATTCAGACTTTATTTTTCTTCTTGAGCCCATTCTTGTGTCTTTCTAGGTATGTGTCCATTTCATCTAAGTTATCTAGTTGTTTGGTATACACTTATTTGTAGTATTCTTTTAAAACATTATTTATTTCTGTAAGATTGGTAGTGATGTCCCCTCCTTCAATCCCAACTTCAGTAACTTGGGTCTTCTTTTCTTCTTGTCAGTCTATATAAGGTTTGGCAATTTTGTTGATCTTTTCAAAGTAACAACTTCAAGTTTTACTGATTTTTCTCTATAGCTTTTTTAGTTTCTTTTTCACTAATTTCTTTAGTAATATTTTATTATCTCTTCCTTATTCTTTCTTTAGGTTTAGTTTGCTCTTTTTTCTAGTGGCTTAAGATAGAAGGTTAGGTTGCTGATTTCTTCCCTTTATAATAAAGGCATTTATAGCTATAAATTTCCTTCTGAGCACTGCTGTAGATGCATCCCATCAATTTTGGTATGTTGTGTTTTCATTTTCATTCATCTCAATATATTTTCTAATTTTCTTTTGATTTTGTTATTGAATCATTGGTAATTTCAGAGTATGTTACTTAATTTTCATATATTTAATTCCCATATATTTCCAAATTTCTTTCAGTTATTGATTTCTCATTATATACCAGTGTGGAAAAAATACACATACTTTTTGTGATTTTTAATTCTTTTGAATTTGAGACTTGTTTGGTGGCCTAACATGTGCCTACCTTAGAAAATGTCCCATGTGAATTTGAGTATTATACATTTTGTTGCTATAGTTGGAGTATCCCACAGATTCTGTTAGGTCTAATTGATTTACAGGGTTGTTCAAGTCTTCCATTTCCCTATTAATCTACTGACTAGTTGTTCTATGCATAATGAAAGTGGGATATTTTGAAGTGTCCAACTATTGTTGAATTTTCTATTTCTTCCTTCAGTTCTTTCAGTTTTTACTTCATGTGCTCTGGGGATTTATTGTTAAGTATGTACATGTTTATAATTGTATCATTCTGATGGATAGAAAAATGTTTCTCTTTATCTCTAGTAATATTTTTGTTTTAATATATATTTTGCCTGATATTTGTATAGTCCTTTCAACTCCTGTTTGCTGTTTGCATGATATATCTTTTCTCATACTTTTACTTTTAATCTCTTTGTATCTTATGATCTTAACTGTGTCTCCCATAGATAATATGTCGTTGGAGCTTTTTTTTAATCTAGTCTGACAATCTGTATCTTTGGATTGTTTGATATATTCATGGTTAACATTATTACTGGCATAGTTAGCTCTACATCACCATTGTCCTTATAGTTTTCCATATGTCTTATGTCATTTGTTGTTCTTCCTTTACTGCCTTCTTTTGTATCAACTGAAGATTTTCTAGTATAACATTTTAATTACTTCAATGATATTTTTCCACTAAATTCTCTTGAGTTTCATTACAGATTGCTTCAGCAGTTGTAACATACATTTTAATTATCAGAATCTATTTCAGATACACTAACTTAATTCTAGTGAGATATGGAAATGTTCCTAAATAGTTCTATTCCTTCTTGCTTTTTTTACACTATAATTGTTAAACATACTACATCCATATATGTTACAGACCTAAAAATACATAAATAGTTAATTGTTATTGTACATGATTTTATACAGACATATTTCAAAGAAGTTAAAAGAAGAAAGGAGACTATTCACAGGGTTTGCAATGTTAACCTTATTTACCATTTCTGATTCTACCTTTTCCTTTCCCGAACTATTTTAGTAGACTCTGTCCTCTGCCTGAGACAACCATCTTAAATTTTCCATGAAACATGCAATAATTCCAATCACCACATTTACACCAGCCTCTAGTCTTCTATTATTTCTATTTATGCTATGCTAATAGCCTACCCCCACCATAACCCTTCCAAGCTGAATATTACCATTTTGATTGGAGTATTTTATTTATAACTATACAACACAGATTTTCATTTTAATGACAAGTTCTACTGATTTCTATCACTTTGAAAATGGGCACTTTATATTTTATACCTGAAGAGCTCTCTTATATTTATACATTCTTTTTTAGTGTACAGAGTATTCTTTGGAAGATACACAAGCCTCATGTATGACTAGAAGAAAGGTTAAAATTAACATGAAGAACTAAGATCCATATATTCCATGGGAATTCTTGTCAATTTGTCCTAGTTAAATTAATAAAACTGGTGTTATATATTAGAAAAGAAAATTTAACTCTTCTAGTGAAAATAAGAGCACCATATTAGAGAGGAATTATGGAAAATATGCTTTCAGTACTATATGTTTGAACTACAAAACAAGTCAGTTTGCTAGAAATCAATTTACTAAAAGTCAATATAATGGAACTCAATTCACAAAACAACCAATCACCCAGTGACCAATGAAGCAATGACTAAAGACACTAAAGACATATACTCTATCCTAATCACTCACATTGACTCATTTTTTTAAAATGACAGTGAATTAGTTCATCCCATATCTGATTATTCTTGATATGTTTTATTAAATAGAATATCTTTTTTCAGGCTATGATAATTAAAACTTGTTAGAAAATCATATTACCTGATCACTAAGCTGATTAACACATGGGTAGATTTATTTTAGGTTTTATTCAGAGTTAAAAGAATAAATAAATTATTTTATTTACATTTTCCAGTTATGAGAACATATTTGAGAGCCTGGTTATAACAAAGTCTTTGAGGACTATATCATGGGACTTCATAAGAAAGATGTGCTTTTGGTACTTCTAAGAAAAAGGCTTTGGGATGCAATCCAAAAATATATTTTCTTTGAAATAACTCCAGGATGTCATAGGTGTCCATATTTAGATTAATATTGTTATTCATAATAAAAAATTATTGCAATATGGACAATAATAAAAGTGGACTCACTTCTGTTGGAAAGTCACTGATATCATCAAATGATAAGTTAAGATACATCAGTTGGGAAGCCAAAGGTGTTAAGTCTGGATAATTCATGATAAAAAAGCCCTAAAATAAAGAGACACAAAAAGTGAATTATTAAAAATACACAAAACAGTTTATACAAAAAATTGAGCACATAATCTGAGTGACAGTGTTTGACATATGTTAACATATATTTTTAATGATTTCTTTTACCCTATTTTTTTCATGTTTCTACTTTGATTTCTCTGTATTTTTTCTATTAGTCTAACATCTATCTAAAACTTCTTAAATATGCCAACTTTTGATTAAGAAAAATATGTGCCTTGTTATAGACTAAATGTGGTGTGCCCCCAAAATTCATATGCTTAAGCCCTAATGCCCAGTATGATGGCATTTAGAAGTGAGATCTTTGGCAGGTAAAGAGGTTTGGATGAAGTCTTAAGGGTAGAGCCCTCATGATAGGATTAGAGCCCTTATAAGTAGAGGAGGTGACCAGAGCTCAAGCTCCCTCATGAAGCCACATGAAGACACAGCAAGAAGGCAACTGTGAACAACAGAACCAGCAACCAGACCAGCTAACACCTCAGTCTTGGACTTCCCAGCCACCAAAACTGTGAGAAATAAATGTTTGTTGTTTAAGCCACCTGTCTATGGTGTTTTGTCACAGCAGCTCCAACTGACCAAGACACGCCTGGTGCCCTCACTGTCTTTTATGCTCCAGGGAAGTTGGAACATTTGTTTCTTAAGGATCATAGAATCAGTAGTGATCAGCTGAATGAACTAAGAAACTGTGATGCTGGAGGAGCAAACCTCAGCTCGTAGTGAAGGGAATCATGGTGCCTTCAGGCTATGGCATGTACTAAGTAAGAATGGAAAGGGAAATGACTAAAGAATCTTAGAATTGACAGTACTAGCTTCAAGACTGACCTCTTATTAAAGTATTACTATTTGTAAATGTCTGTATGTTGGAAGTAAACAAAAATAAGTATTCTTTCTTCCTGTCATTAAATGTTTTTCTCTTCTCTGCAGAACTGGTGACACACTAAGTTGTGTAGCAGACCACTAATTTGTGTAACAGACATGTGTCCATCATAGCCTCTAATCATTCCACTTAGTGTACTAAGATTACTAGTATCTTTACATTTCCTTCTGCTTGCAAAGCTCTTATGCCATCTCTTCCCATGAATTATCTTCTCAGTTCATTCAGCAACATGCTTCTAGACAGCTGTGTGTTTATCAGTCATCTGACCAGAGAGGCCTTCCTTGGCCAGATAAACAGAAGCCTTTCGAAACAGTGTTCCATCAGTGGATTCTTACCCACTCCATTTGCTTTGTATTTCTTCATAGCTCTTAACATCACAGGACAGACTATGCATAAGTGAATGAATGAATGAATGTTTGATCTTACCCCATTAAAGTATAAATTCAATGAAAGAGACATTTTTCTGGTTTGCACACTGATACACAGTGAGATACATAGTTCCCACTGGCACATAGTGCATTCTTAATAGATACTGGTTCAATGAGTGAATATCGAGGCCAGGACTTTCATAAGGCCTCATTGAATCCTTATAGGGATCTTCACTGTGAATATACCATGAGACCTGCCCACCATAGGCACCAGGTATCTCTCTTTTACCATCCCATCATAAACCCTGTCTGCTGCGGTTTTCACAGAAGGGATGTAAAGAACTAAGTAACACTAAGAATATGGAGGCTTTCTCAATCTCTCAAATTGCTTTAGCAACCTTTAAACACTTATGCACAGGGTCTGTGTTCTATTTATTTTGTGTAAATTCTCATTCAAACAAAATCTTTTTTTTTAAATAAGTCCCTGAGATAGAACAGGAATTATGACTTTTAATTTTTTTACATCACCTTCACAGAGCTCAGGATTCTATTCAGGAGTCAAATACTTTTAAAAATACTAATGGCTGCTGAAATAATTTTTTTCTTGACTAGTTTCACTTAAGCCTTTACAAATTGTATTCTTCCTCCATTTAAAGCAGCTATCAGTAAGCTACAATCCACCACCCTTTTCTAAATAAAATTTTATTGAAACACAGCCATGCTGCTAAATTTAGGTATTGTATATTGCTGTTTTTTCATTACACAACAGAATTGAGTAGTTATGACAGAGCCTATGCAGCCCTCAAAGCCTAAAATTTTACTATCTAGCCCTTTACAGAAAAAGCTCACTAACTTCTTACTTAAATAAATTTACTTCAAAATCAAATAATCTGATTTTTTTTCACTTCTACTAATGATCAACAACCTTGTGCACACTGGGGAGGAGATGACAGCAAAAACAGTAAGGTTATATATGGATATTGGTTGAATAAGTAAATATGTTAAGGATAGTAGTCATAACATTTCTCTGTGTTGGCAAAGGGGGTTACAAACTGAACAAGGGAAAAAATCAGGATGTTAGATTGGAATTGGATGTACTGATATGGATTCATAGTTTCAATATGTGTGTGTGTGCACACGCTTGTACACACACCTATTACCTAGCTTTGTCCACTGAGTCTATAATCCTCTAATATTTATGAGAAAACCCAGTGCCCAGATCTTGGCTTCCTCACAAACAGTAACCAGGGATCCTTGGATAAATGGCAGATTTCAGGGCTAGGGCAGAGAGAATACAAGATAAACCTGGAAGGATGATGGGCATGTGTCAAAACGATACAGAAACCATCTTAGATGGGCTTTTACTAATAAAATCTGGTGCACTTAGAGATCAGCCAGAGGTAAAAAGCTTAGAGTCTTCTCAAGTCTTTTCTGAGAATGCATCCTGCTCTAAGTATGCACATGGCTTTTTTTCTAAATGCCCTAGTAAATACAGGCATTTTTGAATGCCCTAATTTCCCAAAGAAAATCTCCCTGAAGCTTTACCCATTTTTGCAATTTCTAAATGCGTTTGAACTTATTTCAAAATAAAATTTAAAATAAAGGAGCTTAGATTTGGAGGCCAAAGACTTCTGGGTTCAAACTCCAGCTCTGCCTCTTGCTTGCTGTATCATCTTGTGCATGTTATTTTTATCGGGCTTCAGCACTCTTATCTGCAAAATGAAGACTGTAAAACCTACTTTGCTGAATTGTAAATTTTAAGAGGAACGTTTGCTTTGCACACAGTGGGCACCTAGTAAATGGTAGCTATTAGTATTATTGTTCATCACACTGGGTTTGTATTCAGTGAAAGGGCTAGCCTAGTGCTGGATTTGGCACATTGATTGATAATAACTTAAAAATACGATAACTGAATCCCACTTTCCTTATCATGTTAGGTAATAAAAAAGCACTATAATTGCTTCAGACCTGAGGATTTTTTAAAACTGAAAGGAAAGCAGACTAGGACAGATAGGTCTAGAGATGCAGTTTGAATGTATTCCTAGGAAATCTCTATTGCAACAGAAAGGATCCCTATAATACTATGGGAACTAACATAAATTAGGAAGCCTAATGCAAAAATACTTGATAATGCAACAGGAATTTTTCACTAAAAAGACCTGGGGTACCTTAAGATTAAGTGCATTTCTTTCGTGTATTTGACAGTTTATTATGGCCAAGTCGGCTATGGCTGTCACACCGCGTCACCCTAACGGCCTTAAAACCTTCACCATATGGAACATGCCCCTCTGGGTCCTCTCTTTCTAAAGATTTAATGAGACCTAAATAAACAAACAAAACATGAAACTTTAATGTGTTATTACTTAGAGTGAATGTTAAAAGGTGTTTATGCTATGATAACTGTTAATCAGCATATATAGATTAGCTGTACACATCCTCTGGAAGAGATTCACAATCACCTTCACCAGCCAATCTCACTTGGTTCTATTTGTCAAACTGGGTTTCATTGTTTGTTTGTTTTTTAAAATATGAGATAGTACAACTGTCTTTCAAAAAGAAAACCATATGTTCATATATTTCCACTGGGATAATTTGAAGTCCATCAATCTCAGAATTTTTGTACTATATGTGAAAAATTTTTAATTTTACTATGAATTAAATAAATAATTTCTTGCTTCACAAAATCAACAAAGGATATCATATAAGCATCACTCAGAATTAGTTCAGCTCCCAAGGATCAATCTTGCCTTATTTCCTAATATCACCTTGATGCATGATTCAAATGCCCTATGTAATTCAGCAATTCCATCCCTGTGAAGACCCCACACAAGTAAGGGGAAAAACCCAAGCAGTTCCGGTGTTGGCCAAACACAGACCATCTGAACTGACTTTACCATGACCCTCTGGGTTTCACCTTCCTTCAGAATGGCCCATCCAACTATATGCCCCAGGGCAGCAGGAAAATAATTTGAAACTTTATGAACTATACTTTCATTCCCAGCCATTCCTGCTGTATGAATTGCAGCAACATATTTCACAATCAGTAATTCTTATACCACTGTTTCAAGTAGAGGAAATAATAAACAAAGAAAACAATGTTCAGTTGTTAATTTCCAAAATAGGCCCTGTGTGCCCACTTTAGATCACAACAGATGTGAAAGTTAACCACAGAATAAAGAAAGATGTATGATATGATATAATTATTACTTGTCTTGAGAGGGGAAATGGAGCAGAAAGGAAAGGAGAGCATGTTAAGACAAAAGTCTGTGGTCTGGTCTTAACTCACCAACTGTCATAGTCCGAGCCGAAGTAACTGGTTTTTTGAGGGGAAAGGAGGGAGATTGAGATGGGGAGGTGGTTAGAAATTCCCTGATTAACTTCTGAAAGATTTGAGGACATTTCAACTCAACTGAAACTTTGCAAAGAGGGAAGAACAAGAGTAGAATAGATTAAAAATGAGAAATGGCAGTGTGACTTGTTTAGGCTTATGACATGGAGGAGACTCCTAAGTTAATTATGTCACAGGTGGTAATACAGAACTGCTGGGAGGCATAGTGGGCTCAGAAAGCCCTATGTTTGCTATAGCTGACAATACTGTAGTATTGTATATTTGAAAGTTGCTAAGAGAGTAAACCTTAAAATCACCATCAAAAGAAAAAAAATAGTTACATTAGGTGATGGATATTATTGTGGTAAGCATTTCACAATATATACACATATAAAATCATTATGTTGCACACCTTAAATTTGCACAGTGTTATATGTAAATTTTATCTCAATAAAACTGGGAGGAAAAGAAAGTTCTGTGGTTAGAGTGTTCAGTATATAACCTATTAAGAATATGATTTTTTTCTATCTAGAATTTTATTTGATTCTTATTTTTAAAATAAAAAATTCCAGTTCCCCAGTAAAATCCTTTAACTTTTTATTTTCCTAAACAGAGTAATCACCATTATTTCACAATCATTATTTGAAAACTCTAATGTCTGAATCTATAGGTCTGTTTCTATTCTGTATTATCTTACTGGTTTTCAGACATTTCATCCTGTTTTTAGGATGCCTTGTAATTTTTAAATTTAATGCTGGACATTGTAGATGTAGATTTTAAAGGGTCTGGATAATGATATCCCTTTCTATAGGTATTAGGTTTTCTTTGATTAGGCAGGAAGTATCACTTTGACTTATGAAGTATTGGGTTTGAGCTTTATGCTAGGGATACTCTTGCTAGTTTTGCCCTTTCTCCTAGGCATCATCCTATTCCTAAGGCATGGGTCTTCTGGGTCTTCTATTGAAAACCCAGTATGTTTACTAAGACCCCACCACCTTCCCTACCGCACCACTTTGGCAGAGCTTGAACTCTAATAACTGTCTGCTATGCAACTATGAAAATCTATGCTGAACTCCTTAGCATCTCAGCTATGTTTTCTGCTGTTCCTTAGAGTATTGTCCTGCACATGCACAGGTTAGAAATCAGCCAACACCCTACAGGAGTTTATATGCAGATATTTGGATTCACTTCTCTTCTCTCTAAGATTTTGCCCCTCAAGTTGTAGCTATATTATAGACAGCTCTGAAGTTTGACTATCTTCTCAATCCAGTACTACTGCCACTTTCTCCTTGTACCCTATTCTCCAACATCGCAATTGCCCTTAGTCAAAAGCCAAGGTAAATGTAGAGTGAACTCATGGGCTTCCCTTTTTTCAAGGATTGCAGACAAACTCATGCCTGCAATGGTTACAGTTCAATAACTTCATCAGCAATTTTGCATATTTTGGGCAGCTTTAATAACTGATTTTGGTGGGAGGGTTTGTACAATACAAGCTACTCAATCTTGAACAGAACCAGAAGTCATCAGGTTATTTTGAAATCTGCATCTGATAATTCTAATATCTGGAACACCCTTGGCTATGTTTCTGCTAGTGTTCATTCATTTTGTCTTTCTCTTTGTGTGCGTGATAATTGTGAATTGTTTACTACACACTGTATTTGTGAAATCATTCTTGGGAAGAATGTGAGATCTAAGATGATGGTATCTTTCTTTAAAGATGATTTTTCATTTGTTTTTGTTAGGTAGCTAAGGTCAAAGCACTTAGAACAGTGTCTGGCATATACCAAGTAGTTTACTCTCATTAATGCATGCCCCTCCCAAATTAAAGATACTCCAGCTATTATGTTCCCAACATCAGTACAAAGTTTGGTTTATAATAAATGTTTAAAAAGTAGTTGCTGAGTAAATGGTTTAAGGAATTGGAAATGAGGTGAGACACTGAGTCATAAACACATACAGAAACACAGTATCATGAATACTTTATTACAGAGCTGTAACCTTATATATAGTTCTTAAAAGAATGACATAAACCTAGGACTTACCTTCAGGTAGGCCTGGCATCCTTTGCTTTGGGGCACTTTCTACATTTTCATATTGTGCTGCATAGTTTCTAGAAAAAAAGAAAAAAATGGGACAACTTTTGGATACTTGTGGAAATTCCATGTTGAGGGTGTTATGATTTCATTATAATCATTCATCTTTTAATGAATTGGGATTATCCATGGAAATGTGCCTATAAAGACATCCATAAACATTGGCTTTGGCTTCTTGACTTTATCTGGTTCACCTTCTAAATTATTGCTCATTCTCATGTCTTTTTATTAGCTTTTCTAATCCTTGAACTCCCTTTTCTGGTTCCCACCACCATCTGGTTGGAGTACCCAGTTTGTCTGTGGCAGACCTGCAAGGTCACTAATTCTGGCCCATATATTAAACATATAAGCAAAAATGACCCAACCATCCCACCCTGCAAACCCAAGGGGGGCCACCATTTGTTCGTATGACCTCTGTCCCCTTCGCTCTACTAGACGTCATTATTACAGACCATGTTCAGAATGGACTTACCTATCACAGACTGTCTTGGAGGTTTTCTTGGTAAAACTGGTGTTGGTATGGAAATAGTACCTGGAAAATTACTAATATTTAGTACCATTGTAGTATTTCATTGTATTTGGTCAGATCGTTTTCTTTCTGCTTTAACAGGTGTATTTCTTGGTAGAGATCTTGACACTCTTGTACTTAAACTGATCAGAGGCTGGTTAAAAGTATAGGTCCTACTTTTTGGTAAAGATGGATACTCAGAGTAATCTTTCTTGAGTTTGGGAGAAATAACTAGGGAAGGGGCACTTGAAGATTTGGAGAACTCTGAGGAGACAATCAGAGCATTTTTTAGCACATCAGCATAAATATGTTTTATTCTTGATGGCTCTCCCTTTGAATTTCTTGAACTTTCCATTTGACTGGTTTCTTTCCTAAAAACTCTATTTGATGCTGACTGACAACTTGGAAAAAATATGAAACCAGTAGCAGTGTCTGGAATGTGCCAGTAGACAGTCTTAGTAGATTTTTTAGATGTTGAAATAGCAGTCACTTTTTCTTGTACATGATGATCAAGAATGACATTTTGGATATTGGTAGGGGTTTGTGATTCACTTCTTGAAATAACATCATGAAAACTTGTTTTATCTGTTTCAACTGAAGTGGTTTCATCTTGAGCGAACTTTACACATGCTGGCTTACTTTTACCAGTCTTGGCTAAGCCAGAAAAATTTCAAAAAAAGAGTACAATTAGGTTATATTTATCCAAGTCTCAGGAACAAAACTATTAATGTCTTAACATTCATAGCTTTTCTTTATCCATTCACCCCACTCTCACCTTCTAAAAATGTTTCTGTCTGTACTTACTCAGGTACCAGGACTTTAGTTTAGCCAAGTGGAATAAAGTTTGAGTGAACAACTGGGGAAAAGAGATTAATTTGTGTTGGATTTGAAAAGGGTAAGGAGATACTCTCAGAAATACAGAATTAATGGAGAGAAAGGTAGGACATAAAGGGATATTTCTTAGCAGTCACCACTAAAAACCTGGGAGTATGAACAGGTAAAAATGATTTTGATGAAGTTTTGTCACTTACCATTTATCATTATCTCTTCCTCATTTGAAACTTCTTTAAGCAAATATTTGCATTTCTTTTCAATGGTAAGTGTCAGACCCATGTGGCTTTTGAACATGATAACATTCTGATACTGGCTACAAGATACCACAGATTCCTTTAGGTTACAACAGTAAGTATTCTTTGTTCTCTTAGGCCAGAAAATGCACTATGCCTGCATTCCTAAGTACCTTACTACATCATATATGCCTTCTCTTTCTTATGCGACAGAATGTTAAATTACTTTTTCTCTGTTGTCTCAGTAGAGTACAATAAATGATGAGGACCTCTACATTCTAATGAGGACATAATAGACCTGTTAGGGAAAGACTTGCAAGGACATGGACAAAACAAGTCCAACACCAACCCTGTTACCCACCTGCTGTCTATACATGAGAGATGGTGAGAGATGGTGAAAAGAAAGGATTTTTTTTCAGCAGAACTGTTTGAGTTGTATCTGTTTCCCCGATCTTTCCCTCCTCATGGTGGGTGGGAGAGGAGGATTTTCTCCCACCTCAAACTAAGTGAGGGGTGTTCTCAGAGAACCATTTATAGAGAACTCCAGGAGTATATGCCACAAGGAGAAAAATAACATCTTAGCACTCCCCATTCCACCTCCCCCACTGATGTCTGCAGAGTAACAAAAATATATTGGCCCACCTAGTGCTGGGTCCCAGCTGGAGTGAGGCAGGAGAATCATTGAAATTAGTTGGCCTGCGTCTCCTGGCATTTCAGGGGAGTACAGAGACTGATGCTTGATTCTCATCTTAACTCTTAACTCAGCTCCTTAAATCTTCCCCACTCTTAACCCCACATATGGAGGAACCAGAAACTGGTAGTTTGAAAACGAGAAATAAAAGAACAAAATAGAAGAATTTATCATGTTCTTGTTTTTTTTCAGCTTGTCTAAAAATTTGCAGACCTACTCTGAACAAGGAGAAAGAGCAAGGTTTGATTACATGCTAGATGGAAGTACTGATTTAGATTGGACTAGTTTTTTAATATCTGTAAGTGAGACAAGGCAAATATATGAAAGACTAGAAAAGCCTTGGGAGAGAGATGTGTGCCATGTAGGTTTGAAGGGCAGTGCTACAGGAATAATGTTTGCTTCCTGCTTATGAGGAACTAGTTAAAGTTAGTTCATTCAATAAAATGGTTACACCACTAATTTCAACTTTATTTTCTTTTTCTCCCATATTAAAACAAAACACAGTAACATAAGCAAAAACCTTAATAGACTCCAGAACTCCTTCCATCATCCACCATCCCACCATATTTATCCTTTCCTTCAATGACAAACGGAAATAATTTACATTCATTAGTTTGGCTGCCCGTTCTCTCATCTGTTCTGTTTGTTGTTTCACTTTATTTACTCTGTAACTTTGAAGTTAGTAGACTTATTTTTACAACAGTTTTAGATATACAAAAAAGTTGAGCATGGCAGTAGTTACCATATAGCCTTGTCCCCTGTATGCAGTTTCCTCTATTATTAGTATCTTGCATTAGTGTGGTACATTTAGAAAAATTAATGGACCAATGCTGATAATGATTAAAGTTCATGGTTTGCTTTAGAGTTCACTCTTTGTGCTGTATGGTTCTATAGGTTTTAACAAATGCATAATGTTATGCATCTACCATTATAGTTTTATACAAAATAATTTCACCACCCTAAATATCTCTTGTGCTTTACAATCTCTCTGAACCTGTGGTAACCGCTGGTTTATTTTTTAGTGTCTCTATAGTTTTGCCTTTTCCAGAATGCCATATAGTTGGCATCCCACAGTATATAACCTTTGCAGTCTGGCTTCTTTCACTTAGTGATATGCAGTTAAAGTTCTTCTACATCTTACGTGGCTTGATGGCTTGTTGCTTTTTATCGTGAAGTTCATTCCATTGTGTATATGCACTGCTGCTCTCCAGAGATTGGTGGTGTCACCATGTCGGATTGTAGCTATTCTAATAGGTCTCCAGTACATCTCACTGCTGCAATCTCAATCATGTCCAGGCTACTGATGAGCCCATTAAAGGCATTTTTCATTTTTATTACAGTGTTTTTTATTTCCGGCATTTCATTTTCATTTTTCTTTAGAATTTCCATATTCCTCTTACATTATTCATCTGTTCTTGCATATTGTCTACTTTTCCACAAGGGTGTCAAAATATCAACCATATTTATTTTCAATTCCCTGTCTGATAATTCCAATTGTGTCATATGTGAGTACGGTTCTGATGCGTGCTTTTTCCTCATCAAACTATGTTTTTTCTAGCTTTAAGCATGCTTTATAATTTTTTGTTGAAAGCTGGGCAAGGTTTATTGGGTAAAAGGACCTGAAGTAGTTGTAGTTGTAGGTGTCAGAGGTTTAAGAACTTTCTGTTGGATCTAAGTCATTACTTATCACTACTATTTTTAATTTTTTTCTCTTTTGCTGTTGTTGCACTTCCCCTCAAACTCCTTTTTAAATAAAGTCTGCCTCTTACAGTTCTCTCCATTGCAATCCACTGTTATTACAGTAGAGCCCCTTTGGTGTGGTGATAAGCAGTTGGGGAAAGGAATTGTTCTATATTCTTATGATTGAATCTGTTTCTCAGTGGGCTGGAATCCCAGGCTGTGGCTTTCAGAAATGTTTCTCATTTCCTCCCCTTACATGAGGCAGAAACTCTGCAGGGGGCTAGAGCTGTCTAACTGTCCTTCCTCCTGGTCAGATAGCTCTGGTAATCTAGTTTCCCTTAGATGGTGGGTCTTTGTTATGGCAAATGCTCTGGGAGTGTTTAGGACTGTTACTTTCTCCTTCTTCTTGGAGGAATCATGAGCAATTTTTTCTCTGATCTTTGTGAGAACCTGGTGGCACTCCAGGAGTTAGAGCCCAGGGCAGTGTAGAGGCCCCCTAAGACTGGACTCTCAGAAGCCCAGAGAGTTTTAACTCTAAAGCAAGACCACAGTCAACCTCCAGCAATTTGTCAAATCAGCACATAAGTGCTCCCACCAGTTACTGGCTTAAGCATCTTCTGGATGGTGGTGTGTTCTGTGACCTGAACTCTCTGATGGATCTAAGTCATTAGTTATCACTATGGGCACTTTTTTCTTGTTATAAGGATAGGAGTGGTGACTTCTCATCTCTTCATACTTTGAAGCTGAAACCAAAAGTCTTCTCCCATTTATTTTTCAAATCATCATCACTTGGATTTGCCACCTCTACTACTAAAACTGTAATTACCAATTATTATTGGTACATGTTTGCTAAACCCAATGGATACACATCATTATCTTTAACCTCTTTTTAGCAGTTGATATTTTAATCCACTCTTTTCTCATGAAATTCACTCTCACTTGGCTCCCACGATAACAACCCTATCATTTCTCCATACCTACCTCGCTGGCAACTTATCTTTCTTTTCTAGGCATATCCTTCTCAAGTTACCATTTAGTTAAAGGGTTTCTAAGGGTTCTGTAATCATCTTTCTTCTCACTAGAACTTGTTTTTTTACATACAATAATAATTCTAAAATCTGAGCCTGGAGGCTGTTAAGCACTCACACTTGTCATGTCCAAACCAAACTCACCCTCAGTTTTTGTTCTCCTTTATCTTATGAGGTACATCTGCTGTCTAGTCTCTGTATTTAGCTCTGTCTCTGTCTCTCTGTCTGTCTGTCTCTCTCTCTCTCTCTCTCTCACACACACACACACACACAACTGGAATCCTTGATTTCTCTTGTATTAGTTTCCTCTGGCTGCTCTAACAAATTACTCCAGGCTTGGTGGCTTAAAGCAAAACAGATGTCTATTCTCTCACACTTCTGGAAACCAGAAACCCAAAACTAGTATCACTGAGACAAAGTCAATGTGTCAGCAGGGCCATGCTCCCTCTGGAGTCTCTTGGAGAGAATTCGTCCCTTGCCTCTTCCAGCTTCTGGTGGCTGCCAGCACTCTGTGGTTGGCCACAGCACTCCCATCTTCAAAGCTTTCTTTGCTCTATCTTCACATCACTTACTTCTCTGTGTGTGTGTGTGTGTGTGTGTGTGTGTGTGTGTGTGTGTGTAATGCCCCTCTGTCTCTCTCTTACAAGAATATGTGTGATTGCAGTTAGGGTCCATCTAGGTAATCCAAAATAATCTCTCCATCTCAATATCATTAGCTTGATATCTACAACCCCATATAATTTTTCACTTTTTTGTTATCTAACATTCACAGGTTCCAGGGATTAGGCTGTAACCCATCCAATCAGTCATCTCCAGGCTTTATTCAAATTACATATGCCAACTCTAAAGCAACTAATTCCCAACCTCTTTCCATTCCACACCACCTCCAGCCTAAAAGGGCATGCTCTCGCTCCTTTTCTACCAGGATAATCACAGAAGTGAGCTATTGTTTTGATGGATTTGTACCCCAACCTCATATTGTTTAAAGTGGAAAAAAGGATTGAAAATCAGTTATCTAATTCTGCTGTTTCACAATAGAAAGCTAAGACCCACTGACTAAATGACTGGTAAAGCCATACACCACATTGGTGTTGGAGCTAAGACCAGAATTCAGATCCCTGGACTTGTGTTCTAGGTGTTCGGCACTGTTGCAAGTCATACCTAACTTCAGGCCAACTGGGAAGTGTTATGAGGATTATAACATCTTATAACTATACCATGGTTTTATAGTTTATAAAGTGCTCTCTGACTGGTTCTTGCATTTTAACCTTCTTCTCTCACAGTTAAGTGATCAAAAACCCCAGACTTTCACTTCTGATTTTCACTAGTTTACATCAACTTAACTTTCCCTTTGATTTTCTGATATAGCCTTATTGTATTTTCATCAAATTTCCTGAATCTAATCAGTAATACTTCATATTTCTTTGTTATATAAAATCTATGCAAACTGGACCCACTTCACCTGACCTTGCCGTGTGATAATTCCTTAATTTCCAATGAGAACCTTTACGTACTCCAAGTTTTACTGATAGTCACAAAGGCCATATGGCTCATTTATAACGTCATTTCTTTATGTCGATCACACTGTGGAATACCTACTTTTACAACCAATTTGTCATTTTCTTCTTTCAAAGTCTACCTTAAACTTTATGTAACCCATCTTTCTTTTTTCTTATACCCCTCTCCTATCTTTCTTGATTAATACAACCCACACTTATTCTTCTCATTAATTTAACACACATTTAACATCTACCACGCACCACCTGTACACATAACGCTAAGGGTATAATCACAAAGAACAACCTTACCACCATCAAGGATCTCATAATTTAATATAGAAACTAGGCAAGTAAACAGTTACAGCTGAGAATGGTATGTATTCAGTAAGGGTACCTGTGGGATACTGCGGGCACTGACTGGTGAAGGGGAAAGAGGTGCTTAGGAAAATCTTCCCAATGAAGACATCTGTCTTCTCACTTCCATACTTCCCTATTTTTTTACTCATTTCCCCATGATTTCTTTTCTGTTTCTTTTCTTTCTTTGCGTATTAATGTCTACTTTTACAGGACACTCTGCCATCAAAAACTACCAGGTCTCCTCTATAATTAAATATACTTTATTCTACTTTAAGAATTCCTTGCGTTGTAGTTCAAGCTCAATTCCTGCCCCAGTGCTTTCTCACATCTATGAACTACTACTGTCTGTACCAATAATTGGACATAAATTCCACGCCACTTTGTACCATTATTTAAGGTTCTTATTTCTGTGTATCTTATCTTTAAAACTTAATTAAAGGTCTTCAAAAGTCCTGAAAGACAGGGACCAGACTGTTGTGCCACCAATTCCCCATAGCATTTAGCATTGTATGCAAATGTGGATACTTATTTCAGGATTTTATTTCAGCATTGAATATTCATTTTCATAAGTTGTACTTTGGTCATTTAAGTATTAATTCATTCAGTAAGCATTTTGAGCACCTACTATGTGCAAAACACTCTGCCAAGAGCCTTTGGAGACAAAGGATTAATAATAGTTAAGGTCACAGAGTCTCTGAGGTGCCAAAAGCAAGGGAGTCCCCCTACCCCCAAGAAAGAGGTACCAGCCCAGAATGTCAGCAGGGAGACACTGTACTAGAGGATAGATCTGAGCTAAAAGGTGAATGGAAAAACTACAGCAAAACTACATAACTGTGGTATTATTATTATTAGAGAACAGATTGTAAATGTGGAAATACAGAACATTACAGAAATGTAGACATTACATAATAATGTAGAACATCACAGAAATGCACAAATGACAGAGTAGAAATTATATAATAAAATTTGTTAAGGAAAATGGGAAAGAAAATTGAAGACAGGTAGGTGTGTGAATTTACACATCTTTAATAGCCATGGATCAAAAAGTAATAATTTAACATTGTAAATCAAGTTACAGAACAGGCATATTTTAAAGTATCAATGTTGACACTAAAATAATACAATCAATTAAAATTAGGTGGTAGAGGAGACTGAAAAGAGGAAACATGAGGAAATATGCTAATTTTATCATTGCTTGTAAGTATTATAAAGTCAATAGACATGATATCAGGAAATACTGGATTAAGGGTATTATTACACAAAGTTATAGAAGGGGCTCCTTTTTACTTCATAGCACTTATCACAGGGTCATTTTACACTTACTTGTACAATTATTTGATCCCACCAGAGAGTAACTAATAAAGAGGATTGGCAGCGTCTGTTTCGCTCACTATTATATCCCCAATTCCTAGCACTGTGCTCATAAATACTGTCAATTCTTGTTATTTGCAACAGTTCTAATTCTATAAAGTCCCAGTGAGCACTCAGTTATCCAATACTGAGCCATTGCTCCTAGGAAAAATACAGGGTTAGGTTCCTGCAAACCTCAAGTCTTAACATTATGGGCAAACAATCAATACACAGACTTGTTTTATATGTTTTTTTATTAAACATATTTAAACACATTTATTAAAGATACCTTATTTAATATATATTGCTGATTCATTAATAATGAACTCATGGACAGTGGAAACTTATCTAACACACATATTTTTCCCTGTAAGGCACATCGCAGCCTTCTTGTGCTTAGGAACACTACACAGCATATCAGCAATATGGCTGGGGGCCAGTTTAAGCAGCAAAATAACTAACAAAACATGCAAAAATTTGAAAAACATGGGATTAAATAAATAGAGCAGGAAAAGGGCAGTTGTACACTCCTTAAGAGTGTACCTGTTTGACCTCAGCTGGGAACATATGTATTTTCACTGTCCTATACATATCTACAAATGACCGAGAGTTACCATGTTTATCACTCTCCTGCACACACTTTCACCTATTTTAAAAAGTGAGAAACTTCTCTGAAGTGTTCTTCATGATACAGTGTTGAGTTAAAAAGGCAAAGTAGAGTACAATATACTGATTTCTGGGTCACAATAAATTTTAGTAGTTGGGTAAATTTGTACCTACAGAATGCAAGAGTAATGAGAATTGATTGTACTTAGAGAACTGAACTGGATGTTTTCCTACAACAAACATTTGTAACTTACTGGTTATTAGTGTCATTATTCTGACTCTAAGCTGTGCAGGTTGAGGAATTTCTATGATAAATAAATAAAATTAATAACATATCTGATTAATACACATACCTGTTTGGACTTTCTTCTTATATAAAGGCAGCTTAGGGAGTTTTGGAGGTAAAGGTCTTCGAAGCAGTTGTGGTTAGTGTTGCATTTTAGTTACTAATTAGCACTTTTTCACAGCTATTGTTTAAGTGAGAATTGAAAAGGTTTTGAATATGTTTGAATTGTGGCTGAAAAATCATCTTAATGAAAATTATTCTGTGCTAATACTGTTTTGAGTCCAAGCAAAATTCCTGTAAAACTAAGAGGTTAAGAAAATAATACTTTAAAACTTCTGGAAAGAATCTAGATAAAATTCAGGTTTATAACTAACACATAATTTTAAAATTCATATACTTTTTACCAGTCAGGATCATTCTTAAATTTCCCATGTTAGCAAAAAGTTCAATCTGCCAGTGCTAGGTCAACTAGTAAATACTGATTTTTCAGAAGAGCAGAAATGACACTCATATTTTTCTTTGCCTCCAATATGTTACTTTATAAATTTGGGAAGAGTTTTTGTTCAAAAAGATGAGTAAATCCCTCCATGATAGCTTCTGAAGACCCACAGTATCTAAGAATTCACAAATAAGTTTTCTTTCTGTAACAATGCTTTAATTTAAATTCTAACCACTATAGTTGGGCCATAACTCTTTAATCCAGAAATAAAATGGCCTTCAATATGAGATTTTCCGGGATCACGGTCACAATTAGAGCTGTTTAGAAATGATGGCAGCAGACAGACCCAAATGTTCTCTTTAGGTAGACAGGCTTAGTTCCCAGGGCAACATCAAAGTGCCTGGCACTAATCCCCTCGACAACCTAGAAGGGAACGTTTTGGAGCAGCACAAATGGGCCGTTTTATCTCCAAAAGGTAAGTGCACACAAGCTCTCCAGGTATGCTGCCTGGTAGTACGTCCCACTTGATGCCAATAATTTTCCTTCGGCTCTGTCGTATTATAGGAAGATACGCTTGGAAGCGTTGAACTCCTACACTTTAGAGCAATCAGCTGCTTCTCAAAATAAACGGCGTTGCCTCTTATCTCTTTTTCCTAGGAATTTAGGCAGCGACGTAAAGGTCAGATGAGGTCGCGGGTTTTCCCGCGGGATGCTGTCATGGAAAGAAAGACCTGGGCTACCCTTATCCCCGGGCAAGCAGTGGCCAGAGACCTAGGCGATAAACCCTTGGCAACCAACAGCGGACAGACCGGTCCGCCCTGGCCCACGCAAGCGCGGGAGGGGAGGGCGGGGTTATGGGCGGGGCCACGCACCGCCCGCAGAGCCCACCGGGGCCGGCCCTGCCCGCGGCGCGATGCGCTCGGAGCTCGCTCGCTTTTTACAGTCGAGGTGTGCGCCTGTCTAGGACGCTGCAGGCGCTGGGGGCTGGCGGAGATCCCGCTCCTTGTGCAGTTGCTGTACGGAACCCCGTGGTGACAATCGTTATTACTATTTTTATTATTAATGACAATGACAATTATTATTTATTTACTTTTCTCTATTACACGATGTTTGACTCGGCTATCTAGGGTCTGGGCCGGCATTCTTTAAAGCTGCACTTGGGCGCAGCCAGGTCCAGTTGCTGATTTTGCAGTGTGCACGAAAAGCGAACATTATTTTCTTTCGCTTCCTTTAATGCAAACTGTTTTGTCTTGCTGATCCTGTAAAGTTACTAGATGAAGAGGAATTGTGTAGGAATAGGGGCATTAAGGATCCAAGTGGGCTTCAGAAGAAGCCCATTTCTTACTGTCATAGTCATTTGTTCTGATTATCGTATTGTGATTTCTCTCCTCTGTCATGGTGTTGATGAACCTGTAAGTACAGTCAATATATGGGGTGTGTTTGCCTATTTCTCTGGAGACATGAGGGAGAAAGAGCGCGGGAGAGAACTCAATTAGATTTGTAAATTCCAAGTCCGAGTAAAGTAGGAGCTTCTTTCCAGTCTTGTTTTGTTATTTTAAGTACAAGTGCAGGAACTTTAGTAAAAGGCGTTGGAAGATGAGAGACTTCTGTATGAATCTTTCTAGCTTTTGGGGTTTCTCATCATTTACTCCTTAACCAAATCTTCCTTTTTCTCCGTAGGAGCAAGCGCATACTTTAAAACAGTCAATGAAAAAAGTGGAAAAGTTAAGAAGTATTTCATCAGACTCTGGAAAACATTATGCACCTTGTTTTCCTTTAGAGTATTAGCTCGTGGGTTTTTTTCTTTGTAAAATTACTGTGTCCTAATTAGATTGCCCGGCCAGACCATGACTTTATACCACTTTTCTCTGTCTGCTTCATGGATTGATTACTTTCCCAGAAAGACATGAAAGCTGATAACAATGAGCAGACTTGATTGCTAGGTTTTGTCTCAAGTAATATTTGTTGAGCAAGTAATATTTGTTTGTTTTGTAAGTGTGAAAATTTTTTATTTTTAAGCATAAAACGTGTATGTTACAATATATAAGTTGAGTCAGGTTCCTACTGACCAATGCTTGGCCTTTAAATTTTATGCTCAGTATTTCATTGTCAAAATCAAAACAATGCACTTATCAATAGTTTTTTTAAAAAAAATGCTTCGTCACAAGTGGAATCAGGCATCAGGTTTCATTCCCTGCAGATTTCTTCTAGCAAGCACCAGGCAGAACCTAGGACCATTTAATATGTAATCTTAGGAGTGACTATTTTGTCTTCTACTACTTTCTTCTATTACTAAGCACCAAACATTTAGGCAAATGAGATAGTTGTTATGAAAATTAATTCCAGGCTTGTTGTATTATATTTGAATATATCAGTTACTCTAACACATATTACATGCTTCATCTATGTACATAATCAGGCTGGATTTAGCACAAATCATATTCAATTTGGATTTTAGTTTTTATTTAACTTACTAATTTTTTATTATTTTTGAAAATATTACTGCCTTGATTTCCTTTTTTACTTTAAAAAAATCATGTCTCTTTAGCTAATATAGCTCCCTCTTTGATTTTAAGGGTAAACTTTACCTGATGTACAGTACTGTCGGCCTGTTTATTTGTTCCATTAGCTTTGCCATTTGGCAGAACCATGTGATGAAACTTGTGAAATTGAACCACAACACTTTCACTCTTAGCAGATTGTATTAAGGAGGCCAGGGTAGAGGTGAGTGTCAAGGTTATACACATCCTGGTTTGTTTTTTACACGTTGCTAAAATGAGATAAAAGCCTTATACAAAAGCAATGCTAGGTACCCTGCAGGTAATGCTATTGATTTTCCTAATGAGTGGGTAATACTTGGGGAATTCGCAGGTTTGCTGTTGGTGGAAGGACACAGCTTTGTTGGAATGGTATAGAAAAATTGTTTCTAGAAATCTTCACTATTTTCTATATACCTCTCTCCTCTTGCTTGTTAATTTATTTTCCTTTTAAATAAGACAGAGGTTTACTAAGCCGTTTGGTCAGTATAGATTTAATCTAAGATCTACTTTATGGCTGTACCTGGAGTAGTTCATATTTTTAATGCTCATATTAGTTTTTAGAAGGTCTTTTAAATACTTGTTCTTGAGTACATATTGAGTAAACTGTTTCTTGAGGAAGAGGTATTTTCTTGGTCTAAATTTACCTGACCATTTTATTATGTATGCTGGGAAATGTCTTTACTCTTCACCATTAACAATGACTTAAATGTACTCATTTAGTTCTTGTGTCTTCATGCTCCTGTGTGGAGAACAGTTTTTTTTCTTAAATGTAAAAAGGATACTTTGAAGAAGCTGCTCTTTACCTCTCATATCTCACTGCAAAGACAAAAACTTCATTTATGTTCTTAATTACTTTAGTTATTTTGGCTAGTTATTTAGTTATTTTTGGTCTCTCAGGATGATAATTATTTGTTTCCCTTTGTTGAACTAGAGATTGACCCTAGGATTACTTTAGAAAAAAAAATCATACTAAGGGAATGCTTTGAACATCATTAATAAGAAAATGTCATGCAACCTGATCATAGAATTTTAAAAAACATCCCAAGTATAATGAAAGGGCAATGTCTATCTTCTTAAAAGCATAAAAGCATATTTATGAATACAGTCATTCATTCCAGAATGATTTATTGAAAATCTACTATGCGTAAGTTGCTTTGCTAGGTGCTAAACTTTGAACTTTATTGAAACAACTTATGATTATTTTGAGGCTTAATAATTTTAGACATTGAAATGAAATTTACATCATTTTCAAAGGCTTTATTTAGCTGTAACTACTTGAGGTTGTAAAAAAATTTCTTGATTTTTTATTATGTATGCTTTTTATTGTACATATTATGTTTATGTTATACATGTATATAAGTATACATATATAATACATATGTCATTATATACACATGTATATATAAACATGTATGTATTATACATAAAATTTTTATGTGTGTATATATATAAATACACATGTTTATTATACATAATAAAAAATTTATTACATATGCTTGTGCAGAATAATGTTATTCATTCACACTACTTGGAATCCTCAGAATAAATGTTTTGTTTCCTTAGCCCAGCTGATATGAGATATCTGTGTATATTATGTGGTTATAGCCTTCACCAAAAAATAGGTAAATAATATTTATTTCCTTAATGGTGACTAAGCAACATTGATTTCAGTGATTATTGATGAAATGTGAATGTTGGTTGGAATGTGGAAGACACAGTTCTAAGTGTTGATTTTATGTTTTCTCTTACTTTACAATTATCACATTAATTGAAAATTCTTATTTCAATCAAAGGCAGCATAGGGTAGCTCAGCTTGGCTGGGTTCAAACCCTGGCACCACTTGTTAGCTGTGTACCCTTGGACCAGCTGCTTAACCTGTTTAAGCCCCTGTGGTTTCTTCACCTGTAAAATTAGAGTAAAGTGGTACCTAAATCAGGGTGTTGTGAGGATTTTAAATGATAATCTGTGTTAAGGATTTACCTATAAAGTATCACATTTAGTTTGCTAGTGTCCCCGGTACATTGTGAAACAAATGCCAAGCTCCAGGTAGGTTCCTACATTCTGTCCCTGGTCCTTATGCCCCTTTGGGCTGCAGAGGAGCTGTGGGACAGCTCATGCCTAAAAGAGCCCAAGTACAGTGATGTGAGTAAGGAGGCCTTGATTTGTCCTTCAC